CTGCCTGCCTGCCTGCCTGCCTGCCTCTCGGAGCTGGCTCGACTTGGCACTGCTCTGAGCTGTAGCTGCTGGTGGGCGCTTCCAGTCTAATTTGCACAATCCAATCTGCCAACCTGCAGCTCACTTGGCCATGCGCATATTTTCTTGGTCTCGGACTCTGCAGATTCAGACACGCACCGCGCCGCTCCGGCACTGCTCCTGCGCCACAGCCGTGAACGCGCACCCTCCGACCGACACGCGTGTGAGCCCGACGTGGGGCAGCCGGCCTCTCCGAGAGCAAGCGTGGGCGACCAAAGGCCAGTCAGTGTTCGAGTGTTCGAGTGCTCGCGGCTGCATCTCCCACCGCGCCTCATTCCACACTCCTGCCGCTCCGTTGCCGCCTGCTCCTGGCGCATCGCTCGGGCTGGTCCTGCACATCACCCCTTTGCAAAGAGGCCCTTCGACATCGGATGCATCCCGCTAGACACTAGACTGCCGTGTGAATGCGATGTGATTGTGATCGCGAATGCAGATGTGTATGTGATTGCTTCGAGAGTGTCAGGCGGAACGAGCGTCGGAACACGAGCGAGGACCATCGAGGCTGCTTGCGACGCGATGCGAGCTGAAGCGAAGCCGCCAGTCGAGCCGACGATGGACACCGAATACGCCCAGTTTCGACGGCACTCGCGCTCCATTTCCTCGGCGCTCTCCTCTCTTCACTCGGCCCCAGTGGCTCGCCGGCCATTCTCTTTTCTCTCATTCCCTCCCCATCCTCTGTCTTGATCACATCCCACTTCCCTCCCGCCCTTCATATCACGCTCGTTGCACTTCTCGTTCGGAATCCACCACCCTCTGCTTTCGTCTTCTTGCCCACAGCCCTCCAATCGTGGACGCCGGTCGTTCTTCGCATCTCCACGCTCGTTTGCAAATCAGCATATCTTTGGCCTCGACACACGTTCGCTCGCCGTCACCGCCTGCGACACGTTCCCAGTGCCAGTCCTGGATCGAACTAGTCCCCATCGTTCCCCTCGGCCTTACTCTGTGAAAGGCTTCAGCGCAGCCACACACCGCGCCACCACTTGCGCTTCATAATGGCGCCACCTGCTTGGGCCGGCGAGTCCTCGTCCAGCATAGCCTTCTCCACCAACCCGCGCGACTCTCGTGTCGTCAGCATCTACGACAAGTACTTATACGATCCCAAAGACCTCGAGTCCTCCGACCCTCGCCGCCGTGAACTCGCTCGCAAGGCGAGTCAGCTCAAGCTTCACGGCCGTCCCGTCAATGCTCTCGACGCAAACGGCCTCCGGTCCGTAGACAGTGCCAACTCGCGCTCCCCACAACGCAAGAGCATCGCCTTCTCCCACAACACAAAGCTCGCAGATGGTCGCACCGCTGCTTCCGCCACCGCCCCTTCCAACGGCACCAGACAGCACCCTCAGCCATCCTACCACGCTTCCGCATCCTCGGAACGCTTCGACGAAAGCCACGATCGAGACTCGGGCGCTTTTGGTCTCGGTTTAGGCATGTTGGGCGGAAGCGACTCCGAATCCGATTCCGACAGCGACGACGAGAGGCGAAAGGCGCCAAGGAACAAGGCGCTCGATCAGCTCAAACACAGCGCCGAACTCACTCGCTCCGACAGCTGGACTGATCGCGCAGTAGCAGTCGGCCATCGCCCTCCCGACAACGCCTCCCAAAACCCGCCCTCGCTCAAACTCATGGCGCTCAAGTCGGCAAAGAATGGCGGCGACGCATCGCGCACCTCCCAAGACGACCGCCGCAGCAGACTCACGGCGCAGGACAACTTGGTCGATCGCACCTCTCGACACGGCAGCACGATCGGCTTCGGCGGCTCTCACATCGACGACCACCCAGACCCTCGAGCACAAGCCAATCAGCCGCCCTCCAAGCATCTCAGCGCCCGCGCCGCTTTGACCAAGCAGCTCGGTCTCGCATCCCCCAACCCAGAGGCAAATGGCCACGCACATCCCAACAGAGGGCCCTCTCCCGCCCACTCGTCCGGTCCGCACGACTATTTCGATAATCGCGCTCCCAACGTCACACAGCCTCGTCCAAACCAGCGAAGCGCTGGTCCGCCTCCCATCGACGTTGCCCGCGCTCAGAACGGCCTCGGAGGCCGTCCACAAGACGTTCGAGGCGCTCCTTCGCCTATGGGCTCACATCACGGTTCCGTCTCGACTCCCACCAGCGCAACACCTCTTCGATCGCCAGGTTACAGCGCACACGGCATGCCGTCGCCCAACCATCCCAATGCCGGGGTAGCCCCACCGCCCAACGTGCTTCAGCGAGGCCCACCTTCACCTTACGACCAACGCGGGGGTCCTGTGGGCCCTGGCGGCCCTGGCGGCCCCGGTGGCCCCCCTCAATACGGCCCGCGCGATGGCAACCCACGTGCGGGCCCCGGCCCCGGTCCCGGCCCCGGTGCTGGCCCACCGCACCCTTCGTCGCTCCAGGCTGGCAACCATGCGCGACCGCCTCCGGGCCAGTATCCGCGACAGGCTGGTCCCCCAGGCCCCAATCAATCCTTTTCTGACGCACCCGGCCCGTCCAAGCGCCAGTCGCTCTTCCGCCGTTCCATGGCCATGCTTGGCGGAGGGCCCCAGGCGGGTCCTGCCGGCTATGGTCAGCAACGTGGCGGGCCGCCGCAAAAACGCCAATCGCTCTTCCGACGCAGCATGGCCATGCTCACGGGCAACAACGCTGGGCCCGCGCCCCAGCAGCGTGGGCCGCAGATGCCCGTGCCCGCACCGGCGCGCGCTCCCGCCGCACCGCGCGTCCAGGGCTTGCAGAACGACTTTGAAAAGCCGGACCACCCGCGCAAGTCGCAGTTCCTCGGCGCCGGCGGCGAGGGTGCCGAGTGGGACACCAACGGCGAAGGTGCCAAGTTCTGGCGCCGCTTCTCCATGGCTCAGAAGACCGCCGGCACGCACAAGGTCGAGGACGGCAGCCGCGCCTGGATGGCGTCCATGGCGAGCGGCAGGCGCAAGCTCATCGTCATGGGCTTCATTGCGCTCGTGACGCTGGTGGGCATCATCGTGGGTGTGATTGTGTGGCGCGAGATCGTGTCGCCGTCGGGATCGACGTCGGACGAGCCTACGGCGGTGTACAAGGCGAACCTGGGCGCCAAGGACAACCCGGCGGGCACCACCACCAAAGCAGCCACGTCCACCTCGCGAAACGCAAAGGCGACGGCCACAGCGAGCTCGAGCTCGAGCTACTACAACCGCGCACTGGCCGACGGACCGAGCGACGAGGGCTCGAATCTGCATGTGCGACGTGCGCTTGCCCACGAGCTCGTCACACCCCGACGCAGGAGACGCCACTTTGGTCAGTCGGCGCCGGTGCAGCCTGTCAACAGCCAGCGCTCGCTCGCCGAGCTCGACTGAAGCTTGCCATCCCTGCTCTCTCTTTTCTCTCACACACTCTCTCTTTTCGTTGCACTTGTCTCTCACGCGGTCAACACCGCCGCCGCACTCCTTGCTGTTCTTCGTGTTTTCCCCGCAATCTCCACATTCGTTTTTCTTCGCACAAGCTGCTCGGCGAGTGGGCCCAGTGTGGAGAGGGAGATGGTATCGATTGTGAAGAGGTTACGCGGGAGGTCTGGGTGGCAGGTTGAGCTTCTTTTCGATGAAGCTTGTGATTTCGCCAAAGCGGTGGCTGAGGATGTTGATGGGAGCCACGTCGTCTGGTCATGAGGACGTGAGGAGGTGAGGAGGGGGAGGGGATTAGGATTTTGGTCTTGCATGAGTGTGATTTGGGGTGGGGTTGACTTACCGACTGGGGTGATTTTGCCGAAACGCTTGAGGGGGACGGAATCACCGCGTTCGAGAATGTGACGATGGTCAGCGGGCGCGAGCACCTTGGACTTGGTGTAGTACCACTTTTTCTTGGCGAGTTCGGCGGTGGGGTCGATGCGGGGCATTTCATTGTAGCCGACGATGTTGACGACGGCTTTCACCTGGGTCTCGACATCGCGTGCCTGGATCAAGCTCGTGAGTACGTCGCATCCGGTTCCGAAGCCGATCATGACGATTTTGGTGGCGGTGGATGCGCGCGCCAGCGACACGATGTTATCCCAAACGAACGCCGCGGCTTCATTGGCTTCCGCGATGCGGTCGGTGTCGTCGGAGAGCGCTGCGCGCGGCATGGCATCGTGCGCGTGCGGTTTCACCGCGCGGAATTCGCGCATGATGTTCATGTCCACCAATCCGTACGCCTTGTCGCGCACATACGACATGACGAGACTCGATGCATCCACCAGCCGCATCGCCTCGCCCTCGATCGTCGAACCCAGTCGAGGCCGTCCCGAACGCAGATTGCCCATATCGTGCACAAAGAACACCACCGTCGCAAAACGCTCCAGAATGCCCTCGGAACATAGCACCTGGCCGGAAAAGTGGACGTCCGCCTCCGGCAGAGGCACCTCGAAGAGGTCGAAGCGGTCGGAGAGCACCGAGTTGCGGTACTCGCTGAGCAGGTCCTCGATGCACACCGACGGCGGCGCATCGTGCGTGTCAAAGTCGACATCGTCCGCCTCAAGGTCCGGCACCTTGAGCGACTTCCAGTAGCGCTGGTGGAAGCGGCACACCTCGCGCACCGTGTTGGCCGCGATCGTGCTCGCCACCGTCTCCTTGGGCTCGACCGTGCGGCGCGCGAGAATCACCTCGGTCACAGCGTGCGCACTGTCGGCAACCGCATCGGGGTTGTATCCGCCCTCGAGCACCACAGCCACCTTGCCGTCGCAGAGCGAGGTGAGTGCATGCGTCATCTGCGCGTACCCGCCGGGCGTGACGCGGCTTTCGCCGATAGGGTCGCCCTCGGCAGCATCAAAGCCCGCCGAGATGATCACAAAGTCCGGCGCGAACTCGAGCGCGATGGGCATGACCAGGTGGTGGAATGCGTACATGTAGTCGGCGTCGCCCATGCCTTTTGTAGGCCAGGGCACGTTGACGGATTTGCCCTCTCCCGGTCCCGTACCGGCGCTGTCGTAGTTGCCGTACTTGGAGCCCGGGTAGAAGGCGCCGCCCTCGTAGCGGTGGAGCGAGACGTAGAGCACTTCTGCGTCGTTTTCAAACGCGCGCTGCGTGCCGTTGCCGTGGTGGACGTCCCAGTCGAGGATGAGGATCTTGCGGATGGTCTGCGGGTACTTTTGCTGCAGGTAGCGCGTGGCTACGGCGACGTTGTTGTAGAAGCAAAAGCCCATGCTCTTGTTCGGCTCGGCATGGTGTCCCGGTGGGCGGACGATGGCGAAGCCGTTGCGGATGCGGCCCGACGCAATCGCATCGCACAGCTCGATGGCGCCGCCGCACGAAAGCCGCGCAGCGAAGGCCGAATGCTCGTTGATGTACAGCGAGCTGAGGTTCTCGAGCCTCGGCACCTGCTCCTTGATGATGTCCGGATGGTAGAGTGCCGTGCGTTCGACGCCGTCCCAGATGCCCTGGTCGTGGACGAGCATCACTTCGTCCTTGGTGACCTCTCTGATCTTGATGCGCTTCATGTGCTGGAGCAGCGAGTTCTCCTGCAGCTTGCGAAAGATCTTGTAGATGCGCACGGGTCGCTCCGGATGCTCCGGGTCGATGGGGTTGGAGTGTAACATCATCTCGGACGAGTAGACGTAGCCTGTGCGGAACTCGTCGAGCGCGCCAGACGCCTCTTCGCGCGCGCCAAGACCGATGCCGTTGGTCATGCCGACGAGATCCCGATCATCGCTGCTGTTGGACGAGGTGGTGACCGACATGGCCGGGGTGAGGTTGGTGAGTGAGCCGGCGGGCGAGTGTGCTTGGCGCCCGGCGGCGTACGTGGAAGCGGACGGCATGGCTACATCGTCGTCGTCGATGACAACGATGGCCCGCTGACCGTTGGTCCACTGCGCTGAGCGCGACGACTCGGCCATGACTGCAGGTCTCGTCTGCGAGGCTGAATGCACCGCGTCGGTTGGTGTTTGATGTGCCTAGGCTGGCGTGCCGACGCGATGGCTGAGTCGATGCGCTCCTGCGACTCCGGAGGGACAGAGCCAGATCTGTCCACGGTGACAGGGTGACAGGGCTAGGCTCGATGATGATCGTCAGAGAAGAGGAGGTGCGTGGCATATGCTGTGCCGGCAAGGTGGATGGGGGAAGAGTGGAGAGATGAGAGCGATTGGCAGATTGACACGCCGGGCGCGTTTTTTGAAGGGCTCGGATTTTGGACCCTTGGAAATTGCGTCCGGCTGTAGCAGTCCGCACTCATCTCGGCGACCTCACAGGCCTCAATCACGGACGGTGCACATGCGCATGGTTGAGCCAGATACTAGTGGATTGGGTGGCTACCGGGCACGCTCAGTCGAATGGAATGCGACGTACTCCGGAGCCAAAGGGCTTCTCGCCGAGCATAGTGGAGCTGAAACCTTGCTGGCGCTTCTTCTTCTTCTCCTCCTCGGCTGCTGCGAATGCGCTGGGGATGGGGATGCCGCAGCAGTCGCCCCATCCTGCCGCCTGACCCTCGCCGGTGCCGTGTGGGTGGCCTGCCGGATGGATGTGGCCGTGTGCATCCTCCTCGACGTCGTCCTCCTCCACTTGGCCTGGCGCCGCCTCGGGGAATCGGAGGAGGCTGCCAAAGAAGATGTGCTGTGCGATGGGCAGCTTCTTGAGCACCTCTGCGCGGTACATCTTGATCATGCCCTCGTTGACCTTGGCCCAGGATTTTGCGCCCGAGATGTCGTCGAGCATGGGCGAGTGCCAGCGGAGCGAGGCGGTCTTGACCGAGTTGATAAACTGAATGCAGGCGAGGTACATGTACTTGGGAGCGAACTCGTCGACGATCTCGGCGTCGTGGATGGCCTTGGGACGCAGATGGCGGTGGTTGCTGAGCTGGCCGGCGCCCCAGAGGAAGGGGAGGAAGTGGTAGTCGTCGAGGCCCCACACGCCGTGGCTGCCTGCGGGCTCGAGCCAGTAGGAAGACTGGATGTCGCGCATCACCTGGATGTAGCTCCAGAATACGCGCAGCACGATCGCCGGGCCGTCTTCTGGTAAGCGTAGGATGCGCAGCTTGCACAAGCAGAGACTGGGAGGAAGACGAGGAACGAAGAGCCTGTCAGCACAACGTGCATACAAGCGTGGTAGTATGAGGATGATTCATTGTACTTACAGCCAACAAGCCATGTTGAGCTCCATGCCGCTGCCGTAGTCGATCCTCTTCTCGTTGCCCCAGCTTTCCTGGAAGTAGACGGCGAGTTCCGAGCGAGCTGCTGCTGCTGTGTCCGAGTCGCCACCCAGATCGGGGATGGAGCGATGCAGCCTGTCGTTGGCGTCGCGGATCTTTGCGTAAAAGGTGCGGAAGGCAGGATTGCCGAATCGGGAGGAGCCGATGGAGGCGTCGGGAGGCGTGGCTTGGCGAATCGCCTTGACCTCTTCGAGCACGTCGAGGATGGCGCGACATGCAGGCGATACCGCGANGGAGCCGATGGAGGCGTCGGGAGGCGTGGCTTGGCGAATCGCCTTGACCTCTTCGAGCACGTCGAGGATGGCGCGACATGCAGGCGATACCGCGATATCGTCCGTCAGCATCTTGCCAACCACGCTGGTGTTGCAGACACGAATGAAAGCGAGGATCTCGGCAAATGCACTGGAGCTTTCGAATCGTTGCAGCGAAGCCGGCGAGACGATACGCTTGCGCGGCGCCTCGAAAGTGTGATCCGACATAGCTACGGTCTCGATGTCGCTGGAAGATGCTTGTGATTCTGTGGAGGCTGATGCAGCAGCGGAGGAGGCGATGGTCAAGCTGCCAAGGCTCGACGAAGAGGAGCTGGACGTCGAGGGCTCGCGGAGCTTGGACACAAGCACCTCCTTGGCGGCATCTTGGACGGGCGCCTGGAACTCTGTTGGTGCCATGGTGATTGCTGTGGGATCCTTCGAAGCGACGCTTGAATGGATGTGGTTGAGGAGGTGTTGTCAGGGCCGTGAATGCTCAGCAGCTTTGCGAGGGGTGACTTTGCTGCTCCACACCCACGCGCCAGGGCTGAGGCTCTTCTCGCCACGCCAAGGGTCCTCACTCTTCCCTCGGCGCGGATTTCGGAGTTTGGGCGTGGAAAAAGAGATAAATATGTTTGACCTTACCGACTAACAGTTCTGAATTTTGAATCGCAGTTTCTCGTCAGGGTCCATCCGAGCGTCTCCGCTGAGCTCAGCGATCTTCTGGCCGCCGCTCCACTTTCTTCGCCGCAAAGGTGCAAATATAGCACAGAAGGAGATGCTGCGAGATGCAGCGTTAGCTCATGCTCAACGGCAAGACTGACTGCCCGAGGGCCCGTCTGCAGGTGCTCTGGCTTCCAGGACGTCCCTCTTCTCCTCCTTCTACCACCAACTAGACTGGAGGCCAAAACCACGATGATCACCTCGGCCGCTCGCACCACCACGCTCTCCCGAGCGACATGGTCAACACCGCGCCCCAATAGATGCACGGTTCTGCATCATCGATGCTACGCCAAGGCAGCCGATGCGGTGCCAGGACTTGGTGCCAAATCGGCTGCGGACAAAGCGAGCTCATCGCAAGGCGGACAGCAGCAGTGGCAGCGCAAGCAGCCGTTGGCAACCGCACAGACGCTCACGCTCTTCTCTGAAACGCCGCAGGGGCTGCTCATCGCGTTGCGGTCCACGCTGCAGAGCATGACATCGCTCGCGGCTAGGCTTGGGCCAGCACCCAACGCCAATGCAACACCCAAGCCCGGTCACCACGACCACGTCCTGCTCTATGCGCTCAGCAAGGATCTTCCGTCCCAGTACCTCAGCGAAGCCGTCTCGATCCTGCGAGGACCCGACCCAGCTCCAGATGCATCCACCTCATTTTCACGCAAGCACGACAGCGGGCTCACCGCCGCCCAGGTCGCCGCCAAAGAGGCCGAGGCAGCACAGACGCACGCAGCAGGTGCAGACGCCGAGGCTGCAGCGGGCGCACGCATCGCTCGCGTCGGCATCCTCTCGTCGCCGCTGCCCTCGTCGCTCATCCCAGCAAACGCCATCGAGCCCGGCTCGACTCCCATCGCCTCTCCGACGCTCTACTCTGCCGCACTCTCGCTTTTGCCGGGCGTCAACGCAATTCCGTTCCGCTCGACCATCCCCGGTCGTGCCGAAGTTGCCGTGGGCCGATGGATGGACCGCAAGCCGTCCTGGCAGCAGGGCGCCGAGCGTCGAGCCGACCTGCTCGACGACGGCAACGGTGCACTCCCCGGCGGCAGCCGCGACTGGCGCGACATCTGGGGCCGCGAGAATCTCGAGGGCAAGGTCCCCGCAGGGCTGGAAACGCTCGATCCGAACTCGGCGGCGTCGTTCATCTTCTTCTCCGACACCTCGCCGCACGGCCTCATCGAGGGGCTTGCGACGCAGTTCCCCGCGAGCTCCGTGCTGGGTCTCTCGGCACCACCAACGCCGTTTGAGACGGGTCGCGATCAGACGCTGCTCATCTCACTGCCCCAGGGCGGCGCAGGCGTGCAGCCGCACAGCAGCATCCACGCGGACGGCGCCGTGGGCGTGGCGCTCGTCGCGAGCAACGATGCACGTGATGCAGACCATCTACCCATCCCCAGCATCACGACAAATTTTGAGGGGCTCAAGCCCTTCGGTCCGCGCAGGGAGATCACGGCGGCGCAAGGCAATATCATCTCGAATCTCGACGGTGCGAATGCGGCACAGCAGTTTCTGCGGGATATTCAGACAAGGTCACATCCTCTCGACACCGAGTCGAGTAGTGTCAAGGGAGAGGGAGTCGAGGAGCAGGCGCAGAGCATGTCGGAGCAACAGGCTCGTCAGATTGCGGCGCGCGTCAAGAAGGAGGAAGACTTCTTCATCGCCGTCTACGCGGACAAGTCGGGCACCGACCAGCCGCTACTGCTGGCACAGATCCTGTCCGGCCATCCATCGCGCGGCACACTGTCCGTCGATACGCAGGTCGAGCTCGGTCCAGGACCAGGCCAACCGCAGGGAACGATGAAGACGTACGCGCAGTTCTACCAGATCGACCCAGCGTTGGTGTCGACCGCGGCACCAACGGGCGATGAGGTCAGTGCGCAAGTCAAGCTGCTCAGTCCCAGTGCGATCGAGATCCCCGGTCCGGATCCGAGCGTGTGGGTCACTCCCAGGTTCCTCTTCCTCTCGCTGCCCGCGTCCAACGACCAGCGTCCCAAGCCAGAACAGCCCAAGCCAGCACAGGGAAAGGTCAAGCACCAAGTCATGGCACTGCCCAATCTCTTCGTCGCGGCCTCCGAGCGCGGTTGGATCGCAGGCAAGGGCCAAAGCGTCACAGACTCCAGACAAACTCCCCTGCTCGGCCTCAACAGAGACGCATCCTCCATCGTCACTTGCACCGTCCCACTCGCCAAAGCAACCCTCTCCCTGCGCGCCTCGAACAACTAGACTGCCAATCTTATACTTGCAAATCACATCCGCGTGCGAGTATTGTCGAGTGAATGGAATTGCGCGCCAAACGACGTCTAGCGGAACATTCGGAGATATGCGAGCAGCAGTGCACCTGCACCCGTAGCCACACCGACCAGATACTAGGCAGTCCAAGAGAAAGCATGTCAGTCACTTTGGCCTTGTCATCTAAAGCACCGGCTAGCTTGGTATCGACTTACCTGGAGTACGTTGAATTTGGCGCTCTGGATGCTTGTCCTCAGACCGGCGATTTCGGACTCGATGCGCGTATCGACCTCCTTGATCTTGAGCGCATGCACGGCCGACTCGTCGCGGATGCGGCCCTTTTCGAGGTTGAGATCGAGTCTCACACCCGCCGTGGTGCGCGTGATCTCCTCCCTGAGCCGCTGCTTGAGCTTCTCGACGTCGGCCATGAGGCGTTCGTTTTCGCTCTTCATGAGCGCAAAGTCGTTGCGTTCCAGCAGCTGCAGCTCGGACTTGAGGCGCGTAAAGTCGACCTTCTGCGTGTAGTTGTTCTGGTCGCCTTCCTCGCGCGTCACGAGGCCCTTGGCGAGGTTGGTGATGCTCTCGTCGATCACGTCGCGCAGCGCCTCCGTCAGCACGTCCGCCTGCTCGCGCGACACGCCCGACGCCTCGAGGCGCTGCGCAAACGCCTGCGTGTCAAAGTGGTGCGACGTGTACAGCGACGAGGTTGTCGAAAAGCTCTTCGAGTACGAAGGCTGCGTCGACGACGAGGAGGAAGACGACGGCGATGAGAAGACGCGCGCTGGCAGAGGATGCGGCGAAGGAGGCGGTGGCGCCTGCGAGTTGACGTACGATGCAGCAGAGGGCGGAGGTGGCGACGACGNCGCGCGCTGGCAGAGGATGCGGCGAAGGAGGCGGTGGCGCCTGCGAGTTGACGTACGATGCAGCAGAGGGCGGAGGTGGCGACGACGTCCAAGATGACGACGAGGTGGACCACGCCGAGGTACTGTCGCGAATGAAGGTGCGCAGCGGCAGGGCGGACGACAGAGCGGGTGGTGGCAGGCGCGCGCGCATCCTTGTGCTGCTGGTTGCTGACGATGCCAAGCTTCGCGTGCCTGCGTGCACGAGGCCAAGCATACTCCTTGATGTCGATGCGACGTTCATCTTGGGTCCAGTGTAGGTGAGAGAGGCGAGATGGTCAACGAGAAGGAGCAAGACGGGTGGTGACACATTCTCGAGATGGCCTGGGTCGGGTGGGGCGCAGTCGGACCTCGGCTGACCCGAGGTGCGTGCCGCATCCTCCTGATCGGGAGCCGATGCTCTTCCCGATTCAAGACAGGATCGGAACGTGCTCGCCGGTTCGCGCCTGTCGAGGTGGAGAAGGGTCAGGGTCCAACCGCTGACCGCCACTACTCTGGCTCCCTTCCGACCGGCACTCATTGAGCTCGCAGCGCAAGCTAGCATCCGGCACCCATGCCTCGTGCGCCATCGCACGCTCATCGCCTCAGCTGAACACTGCGCATCGCGAGATCGCTCCCGAGATCGCTCCGCAGGGCGCCAGCGGCAGCACAGCAGCAGCATGTACCACCTCATCACCGGGCTGTACGCCGAGTGGACCAAGAAGCCGCGCTACAATGCGCTCATGGTGGGCGCTGCGGGCGTCGGCAAGTCGTGCCTGCTCGAAAAGGTGAGCACTGTCGCCACGCTCCGGTTCCAGCTCCTCCCGCTGACACCCTTCCCTCCGCTGCTAGATCAAGAGCGTCTATCTCAAGAGACCGGCACTGCCGCCAAATCGAGTCGCTCCAACCGTCGGACAGAATGGTAAGCTCGACGCTTCCCCCGCATGCAGATTGCACAAAGCGGCTGACCTCACTCACTTGTGCGCGCTGCAGTGCTCGAGCTGAGTCTGCCTCGTATTCATCTGCACTTCTGGGACCTGGGTGGCTCACCATCGGTGCGCACGCTGTGGAGCAAGTACTACGACGAGTCGGATGCCGTCGTCTGGGTCGTCGACGCGCGCCACTTTCTTCCACTCCATCGACACTCCGACAAGGTCTCTACCTCGCAGGCCCCCGATGCGGGCACAGACTCATTTGCCGCGCGTGAAGCATCCTGGAAGCTCCTGTGTAAGCCCTTCCCCTCCCTTCCCCCCAGAAATCCATCGGAGTATGCTAACGCTCATGGTGTTTGGCCGTGTGGGCTCTAGCCGAGCTGCTCATGCATCCGAGCCTCGAAGCGTGTCCGGTCCTTATTGTCGCCAACTGCGTCGACGAGTGCGAGTCGTCCGAAGGCCTGGCGCGCACAATCAAGCAGTGGTACAGCGACAAGCTCGCGTCGGACGACACGGACGTGGCTGCTGCTGCGGGGGACAACGTGTTTGCGGACGACGAGGCGTACAGAGCGCCCTCAACATCGGTGCTCGGCGAGAGAGAGTACGAGTGGGACGTGGTGCTGGCCAGCGCCTTTGACGGGTAAGCCGCCCTCACCTCCGTGCGCGTAGCGCTTGCAGCGTGAAACTGACTCTCGTTCCTTTTGATGTAGCATGGGTGTGCACGATGTGGTAGATTGGCTTGCGGGCCGGGTACAGCGCTCCGCGCCTCGCTCACAATAGCACCAGCCCGTCCCGCCGCCATGCTGTTGGTGGCCGCAGCATGATCGGATGGCTATTGGCTGCATACAGTCACGTGGGCGGTTTTTTTGGGGGGGCTAATTTTTGCCCGCCTTGCAGAGCGTGGAATCGAAGAAATTCCACACCAACATCTTTGCTTGTCTTCCTCACCACCACCACTTCGGAGAGGTAAGTTCGCACCATAAAATCGATGCGGGCGGGAAGGGGGGGCGATGTGATGCAACTCCTTTTCACACGGGTAGACCGGGCGTCCTGCAAGATGCCCGGGCTCGATGAACTCGTCAACAACAAACAACTTTAATATACTCTGATCCCCAGCCTCCCCTTCCCCCGCCCGCCCGTTCGCTAGCGACGAAGTACCCAAGAGATGGCCAGAGAAGACTGACTTCCGTCATTCGCTTGGTCTGGTAGCTTCACGGCAGCACGGCACGCAGTTGCAAACACATTTTGGCAATTTGCACGTTTGATGGACAAAACTTTTGCGTTACACGAGTGTGTGTTTACTTGGCGGGATAGTCGTAGAAGCCCTGGCATAGCGAAGCAAAGATCAGCGATGTGTTTTCCGCTCGCGATTGCGGGAGTGAGCAGACGTACCTTTCCGGACTTTTTGCCGAACCAACCAGCGTCGACCATGCGGCCGAGCAGGACGGCGGGTCTGTACTTGCTGTCGGCCGTTTCGCGGTAAAGCGTCTCCATGATGCTGAGGCACGTGTCGAGACCGATAAAGTCGGCGAGCGTCAGGGGGCCCATGGGGTGGTTCATGCCCAGCCGCAGCGTCTTGTCAATATCGTCCCTCGAGGCGATACCCTTTTCGAGCGCCATGACCGCCTCGTTGATGAACGGCATGAGCAATCGGTTGCTCACAAAGCCGGGCACATCCTTGCTGGTGGTGACCTCTTTGCCGCATGCCTGCGCGAAGGCGCGCGAACGATCCACCACCTCCGGTGCCGTCTGAATCGCAGGGATCAGCTCCACCAAAGGCATCACAGGAACAGGGTTGAAAAAGTGGATGCCCAATGCCTATTCCCCAAAGCATCAGCATCTCTTCTTGGGTATCGCAAGGGGCTGGAGGGAGGCAAACTTACTCGGGCTGGACTTTTCCATGCTTCTTCCGATCCGGGCTTCACACCGGCCCCAACCGCACTGGCAGCGATCTTACTGACACTGATGCTGCTCGTATTGGTCGCCAGAATCGTCTCGAGAGGCAGCGTGCTGGCGAGCGTACCAAAGATCTTTTGCTTGACAGCAAGGTTCTCTGTCGCTGCCTCGATCACCATATCCGCGATCCCCTTGCTACCTGCAAAGTCCTCCAGCTTCTCTACAGTCACCAGCCTAGCCCTGGCTGCATCTGCATCCGACTGGCTAACCTTGCCTTTGGCAACGTCCTTCTTGAGCAGCGTCTCGAAAAACGCCACGCCCTTGGAAAGTTGGCCTGCCGAAGCATCGCAGAGCATCACCGAGGGAATCTGCGCCTTGAGTGCCGCGACGTACGCAATGCCAAGCCCCATCTGCCCAGCTCCCACGACACCTAGCGTCTTGACTCCGTGTGCGACCGACATCTCTGCGAATGTAGTTGTCTGTGTGTGTTTGTGGTTGTGTGGGGAAGTGTGGAGAGAGTGGAGGAAAAGCTGTCTGCTGACCGGCAAAGCGTGTTGTCTCCTTCCACCCCGCGCGCCCGGGCCGTCCGTTGGGCAGCGCCCAAAATTCCGAGTTTCCCCCCGCCTTCCCTTCCGGTCCTGCCGGTCAATCCGCTTTCACGTCGCCGCTAATCCCGACGCGCCGTCATTGCCACCAGGCCGCCCAACGAACAAACAAGGTGCTGAATGTGATTGTGATTAGAGCGACAGAATGTGATAGCGATGGATACAACCGATAATGCACCCCTCCGCCACTGCTTAAGCGCAGCAGCAGAGGAGATGGCGATACAGATATTAGCAAGGAATAGTCGGGAAGACGTCGTCATGGAGACCAACGTTGGCACCACCTCCCGGAGGCTTGCCAGCACGTCGGGACGCCAGATTCGTAGATAGATTCGTAAAAGGCAGTCAAGCTGCCGCAGGCACGACCGCTCAAAATGCAGCCTGTTATGCGTTGTTGGTCGAGGAGGCTACCGCAGCATCGCCGGTGGCATGCGCTGGGATGGGCGGCACGGCGGGCACCGCCTTGGCAAGCCGAAGCGGACTCGAACCGGCACGATGCGAGCCCGAGTCGATCGACTTGCGGCCGTCGCTGCTGTTTTGTGCGAGCATGTCGGCCGACTTGAGCTGCATCGCCTCGAATACGGCGCGACCCACCGCAGGCCCAGCGTTCTGCTCCGGATCGATGCGCCCGGCCTCGAGCGCCTCGGTGTACTCTTCCACCGACCGGACGAGCTGGATGAAGCGGGCGTCCTTGATGAACCTCGGAACCGAGTCCGTGGCCATGAGTCGGAAGATGTAGTCCTGGATGCGCTCGTACAGCCTCACCATGACCTGCAGCTGGCTGGCATGCAGCGGGATGCGGATGCGCTTGGCCATGACGGCCGCCTTTCTCTCCTCGATCGACGCCGCGGCGGTGGTCGGCGCTCCACTGCTGTGGGTCGCCTCGCTGCCGGCGCCCGTACCGCCGAGCTGCGTGGTCGAATTGGAAGGCGACACGGTCTGCGCCGAGAGGGACGACACCTTAGCGTCGGTGAGGATCTTGTTCATGTACAGGATGAGCTCGGTCCGCAGATTGTGGTCGATGTTGAGCTCGCACGGCGACGAGGGCGCGAGGTACGTGTCGTAGATGACAAACGCCATGCTCACCAGATCCTGCTGGTGCTTCTCCATGGCGCTGAGGCCCTGTGTGTCGTCATCGCTCTTGTCTTTGTTGTTGGTAAGCGCACCGGTGACGCTTCGGCCAAGCCGACGGCCCATGCCGCCCTTGGAGTCCTTGGCGGGCGTCTGCACCGCGACGGCGCTCGAGGTGGTATGGAAGCGGCGCTTGAAGTCCTGCACGTCTAACCAGAAACTCAGATTCTCTTCGCAAAAGTTCTGTCGCAAAAACTCGCGGAAGAGCGAACGGAGCGCGGGCTCCTCGAGGATGTTTTTGAGCCGGTTGGTGTTGCTGTCGCGCGTGCTGAAGGAGGAGTGGTCGTGGAGACCCTGGCCGATGCCGGCAGCGCCTCCCGCCTGCGCGGGCGCAAACTCGGCGCGCATCTTGGTGCTGGTGGACGACTTGCGCGCGAGGCGCGAGTCCTGCGATCCGGGACTGCCCGTGTCGTGGCCGAGCTGGGCGATCTGAGGAGAAGGAGCCACGGTGGACAGCGACTCGTCGGCCATGCGCAGTGCGTCTTCCCTGCCGGGAGTGGCGACGCCGGAGGAAGGCGTGTCGGAGCCGTCCCAGCGCGCGACCTGGCGACCCTTTTCGGTGACGCCGTACTGGGTCTTGTGATGGCAGCGGAAGTGGCCGTCGCTGACGCCGCCGCGACCGTCTTCGACACGGATGATGACGTCGCGGTCGTCGTAGGGCTCGACCTCGCGCTTGGACTTGTCAACGACGACGCGGATGAGGTCGAGGCGCTGGAAATGCGCCATGATCTCGGCAGCCTCGTCCTTTCCGCAGACGGTGGTAAAGTCGCAGAGCCAGTCGAGCGCGCCCATCGAGTTGAAGGTGTGCTTTACGGTGCGGTAGCCGCGTCCCTTGACCTTCTCCTGTACGTCGGACATTTCGATGCCCAGAGTGCGATCGACGGCCGGGTCGGCGTGGTCGTGCGACTTGTGCGCCGAGGCGGATGTGACGGCGTCGTAGTTGGGCGCGCGACCGACAAAGCGGCGGAAGATGACCTCGAGGACGGGCGTGTTGATGAGAAGCTCGTCGTCGACGGAGCGCCTCTCGAGATGCAAGAGCTTCATGCAGATGGGCTGGGAGGAGAAGACGCGGAGGAGGTGGTCGCCGTTGATGCCGTTTTTGGTGATGAAGCGCTCGAGGATGTGTAGGCCCTTGGGGGTGAGCATGTAGACGCCCTTGTCCTTGAAGATGGGGTTGGAGGCGTCGCCGGCGTTTTCGATGAGACGGGCGTCCATAAAGTGCTGGCAGATGCCCTTGGCCATGTCTCTGTTCATGCTAAAGGTGGTGGTGGTGGTGGTGGTGACGACGCGGCTGGGCTCGTTGGGGTCGGGGACGCGGTTGGACTGAGAGAACTTGAGATGGGACAGGTTCTCTGCGGCCTCGTCGGTGGTGAAGGAATTGTGGTAAGTCTTGAAATACTGGCGATGTGTGCCGAGTTCGAGCGAGACGATGAGGGTGGCGAAGAGGTCGTGCGTGTCCTTTGCGAACGGTCTGCCTCTTCTTGTGGTCTTCATCATGCGGCTGGTGGTCTGCTGCTTTGTTCGAGTGGCCAAGTCGCCAGGCAAGCTTCCGGAACTGTCGGTGGGAGCCATGTTGGCGAGCGTGAGGTAGTGCGCCGCTTATAAGAGCCGCGACGCCAAAAAGGATCCGAGGGGAAGCCCAGTGGACGGACCGAGGGGGCAGTGTGATAGCCGGGGTAGAGGCGTATGCACGGGCGCGCTATTGTTAATGGGGGCGAGGACGGGAGCCAAGAAGCGAGACGGGCTCGGGGACAGCTCGCGCGATCCTTGTCGAAGTGGGCCCGAGCGGAAGAAGCAGCGGAGCAGAGAGGCGTGCCGAGAAGATGGAAGGGTGAATATGCGAGGGGATCCGAGCGGATGTACGCGCTAGGTGCGAGCAGATCTACACCTGAGACGAGGGGTCGGAGCGATATGAAAGTGCGTCCAGGATGCAGGAGAAGCAGAAGGGATCTGAACGGATGCAACGAGAAGAAGGCGGTGCGTTGGCAGCAGTATGCAACGTCGGACGGTCGGATTGATGCGTGGCGAAAGGTGTGGTGTGGTGGCGCTGATCGAGCGACGGAAGAAGGAGGCGTGCAAAAAGCGAAGACGGACGGAACGATGCGCCCGCTGTCGGCTTCGAGAGAAGAGAAGGTGAAGAGGAAGAAAGGGGTTGCCGGCAAGCAGCGGCGGCGGCGTTGGATGACGAGGGTGATGGCACAACGACAAGGAACTAGCGGTGGCAGCGTCGGCAGACAAAGGGGACGGTGCAATGCACACGAGCGAGGCCATGGCGCGCGCGCATTGGATTGGGACGAGGTGCGGCTGGCCACTCCCTCGCAACTCACCAAACCAGCACGAGGCAACAGAGAGGACCGCTCCACCAGCCCCTCCGACGGGTGGAGTCGAGCCAAATTATTATTTATTATTGATGAATTCGGCGATATCTCGAGCAGCCAGGCAGCCAGCCGGTCAGCCAGCCAGCGCCTTGGAAAAAGTGGGAAATGCAGGCTGCGCGTTTCCACCTGCTTTAGTGCGGTTGGGCGTGGCTCGGCAGCATGTCAAAGTCAAGGAAAAAGAAAAAGAAAAAGAAACAGCTAGTTCACGCGGCTGGCCCGACGAGATCCCTTGGAGACGGGCCAGCCCCGCCAGCCTTTGCATGATTGGATTGGATTTGCAGCAGACACGGGAGTGACACTGAACTCAAACATCCGCTGCAGCTGCTGGTGGTGCCGCGTGCATTTCACTTGGCTTTGCTCGGTCAACCAGCGGTGGTCTGCATTGCATTCTGATTGAGCCGGCGCGCTGCACCCGCGACCAAAAGTAAAATTCACACTCTAGACCGCACCAACATCACCTCGTTCTGGAGCCAGGCGGCCTCTTTGGATTTCCCGAGCCGAAGCTGCTGCTCTCGGTCTGGGCCCACACCGAGGCAGCGATACGGCATGGTGTGAGCTGTCGATCCCTCCAGCTCCACGGGCACTCCAAAAAGGGCCCGCAATTCGACCGCAGACTTTCCAGATGGGATGCTGGACAGAGGGAGTTGCTCAAAGTGGTGGCGCCGCCGCCGCTGCCGAGCTGCATCACGTCCCCACGCCGCCAACCTGGCGTTGTCAGGCAGACCGAGGGTGGTGACCTGCCACTGCTCATGGCCTTCATCGCACAGTTCCGCGGTACCACCACGGCGAACAGCGGCTTGCTGGACCGCGTCGCTGATGATGTGAAAGTGATGACATGAGAAGAAGAGGAGCATGAATTTCACCCTCCACAGCTGGCGGTGGCATGAAATTGCCAGTGCAGCCCGCAGCAGACCGCAGCCGCCGCCCCACCACCGCAGCCGGCCACGTCGAAACTCTGAAACTTTCAAACAATTCCAAAATTTCCCGACCGACACCGCTCCCCCGCTCCCCCACGCTACCAAAAGAAGCTGCATATGGACACCGAATCACATTCCCCGCTGAACCCTTTGGAGTAGAAGGTCGGGTCCGACGGTGCTGCGCACACAGCTGTTGTCTTGTCAATTAGCTGATCGCTGCGTCTCGCTTGCTTGCACGCACGGCCGTTCCTGCCATGTCTGCCATGTGAGCAAGCCATGTGAATACCTCACGGGGAGCCACCAAGCTCCACCAAGAAGCACCTGAAATAGTGTGGCGCTCGTCCAGACGCTGCAACGGGAGGCATTCTAGACTTGGTTGCGTCGACGCCAGCTGATCCTCGAGCCGTGCCATGCGCCTGCATCGTCCTCGGTGGCTGTCTCAACACGGCAGACAGCATGCACAGCATGTGCAGCAGCCACCTACGACCACCGCCCCTCAGCCAGTGCGCCTCCAAGCCGCCGTCTTGGCAAGGCTTCCAGGCCTAGAGCATTGGCTTCGCCAAGCAACCCGACTTCGGACCGACGCTTGCATTTGATCCGAGATTTCCGCTAGCAACAAGGCTTGGAAGCATGTCGACCTTGATCGTCCGGCACACTTTACCGGAACGGCTCCGTTTTGCCTGTTTCGACGTCAAAGGTGAGAGAGGGTCCAAAAAGTGGCTGTTTGTTAGACCTCAGCATCTCCTTTTCCTGTGGGTGCGCTTTTGAAAAAGGGACACAAAGCTCTCTTGGTCGAAGAGCCGAGCTGCCGAAGCGCACGGCTCGGCACACACGCGCCTTCCTCACAGACACGTAGTGTTCCGAGACCCGGACGCTTGGCCTTCTCATCCGAGCGCTCGCCTCCTCGTCAACGCAATCACAAGCCCTCTTCAACCCACCAACCTCATCTGGCTCGCCTAAGCACGCTGGTCCGAGCAAAAGGCTGCTCTGCTCCTCATCACCCTTCTTGCACTTCGATCCGAGACCAACGACAAACGCCAGCCTCGCCTTGCGCCGCTACTCACACATCGAAGCGTGTCTCGACATAGCTCTCGCGATCTCGAGTCCGCGCAAGCCGACACACGCGCCATCGCCAGCACTTTGACTCGTCGAAGATTGTACATCATTCACCGAGACAGAAGCTGTCGCGCCGAAGAGTATGTCACCGCGCCGAGCTCGTCGAACCCAGCCATAGTCCGTCGGATCCGTAGGGCGAAGCGCTCGGCGGCGACGCGCAGCTGCCAGCATGGCCATCACGCTGCAGACAGTGCTTCCGAGCAAAGTGCTGCCGCGTGCGCCCAGTCCGAACTCGGCGTCGCCCAACCCAGGCGTACGCTCGTCCATCACGCAGTTCATCCCAGCCTCGCCCGACGCCTCGCTCGACCGGGATGCGTTTGCCACCTCGAGCGCCGGTCCGAATGCACTCGACGCTCCATTCACCCCTGGGGGCAGTCAGTATGCTCATACACGCAGTCGCGGTCTCAGCACGAGCTCGAACGCTCAGAGCGTATACAGCGCTGATAGTGGCACAGCTGGGCTGAAGAGTCCCATGTCACCGATCGCGCTCGGGCGCAAGTCGATGTCCGCCGGCGCAGGGTCGCGCAGGGGCATTGCGCACAGCATCCGCGTGCTCGGCGTGGATCGCGTTGCGGACGTATTCGACATGGCCCCGCTCAGCAGCGGTCAGGTCGATGTCTCTTTCGAAGCGACGCTGCGAGCACAGCCACCAAGCGGCAAGGGAAAGAACCGCGCTCGTGATCCTCTCGACGACACCGAAGCACAGGCGCTGTTTGATGTCGACCTCGAGTCCGGTCAGCCTGCGTTGAACCAGTCGCGAGCGACTAGATTGTTGCAGCTCGGAGCGCAGTCGATGCCATGGAGCAAGTCGCGAGCACGGACGTCGACCGATGCAACCCCACCCGCTGTGCCGTCGTCTCTACCCCGTTCGCTCGACATTCCGCGCGAACATGGTGGCCTATCGGACGATGAAGACAAGCAAGAAGGCGGGATCGAGGACGAGGAAGGTGGGGACGATGATCGGCAGCATCTGCTGTACAGTGGAGGCGAGACAGACCGGCCGGGCTTCTTTGCACCGGGAGACCGAAGTTTCGGCTACCACACGCTCGGGGCTGCACCCGGCGGTTACGGTGGCAGGGTGGGGTTCGAGCCGCTGCTGTGGAGGGAGCGCATCTGGATGATTATCAGTGCGTGCCTTGTTGCGGTGGTCGTGGTCGTGGCCATCTTGATCAGCATCGATGTGATTGATTGGCCGGGCGACGGGATCGGAAACAACTAAAGAAGCGGCCTAGGGCACTCGGAAAACTGCCCCGCATTGTATTTGTATCTCGAGCATCATGCATTTCAGCCCGATCCCACCGCACAGCGAGGCGAGTTGTGGCAGCAGTATGGGATGGTGAGCCAGGTGCTGTCGAGATGTTCGGAACTCGGAGGAGGGGATGGTGACACGACGGTGATGGTCACCTCGGCAATCTTTGTCCGGCATGGAACGATTGCCCCGTCGCGTGGTCCTAGCTTGGGCTAGGTCTCTCGTGTTGGACGTCGGGGTGCTCGTTGTCGGCGAAACAAGAGCGGAGTTCGGCCGCGGTGAGAAGGGCCGCGATGCAGTGGCCGATTCGACGGTTCTCCCGCATGGCACAAGCCGAACACGGACACATCTCTTCCGCTGTACCATTCTCACGGCTGGAAACACGAAGCGTCCTGGACGACGTTGATGCATTGACCGATGGAGCGTCGTGGGGAAGGGGACAAATAAGCTCCAATCAAGTCTGTCCCGCACACCGGATCATCTTGCTCCGTGCCCACCCTATGCCGTCTCCTGACAGCTTGCCGATCAACAGATGATCTCTTCTCCTCACCGTAGCAACCGACACCACTTTTTCTCTTTACGGGCTTGTCACTGAATACCGCCAAACGATGTGATGTGTTTAGGAAAGAGGGTGGATGGCGGCTGGCAACGAGGGCGGAGTTGTACCACCAAAGGGATCGACGGCGTGCGGCGGGAGGGTCACAAAGTGAGACTGGCTTCGGCTGCATCTCTGCTTGGACCCTATCGAATGCCGGAGCGACTTGACGCTGCAGTGCGCGTGACACGTTGAGCGTCCGCATGCTCGGCTAGCGTTTCTTTTAGCGCCAAGGCACGTCCTCTCATTCCGTCTGAGGAAATCAACGCACGTTGCCCGCGCCGCCTCGTCCATTAGCGCCCAACGGCGCGCGCCGGCGTGGATTCGGATTCCAGATGGCCGCTCCGCAAACCGTCGTGCGCTCGGAATGTCGTCCCCAAGCTTGGCACTCGTCCAGGTCCCTCTCCTTTCGGCTCCCCCGCTCCCTCGTTCCGGCCGCACGACGCCCGAATCGTATAGATCCTTGCGCTCGTGCGCCCGCCGATTAGCGGCAGCTCGTACATCGAACCTAATGTAGCGCGGCGTGCGGATGCGTGGCGTGAACGAGCACCGCGCCACACGCTCACGCAGCGCATCCGTCGGCAACGCGGCTTCGGCCATCGCTACAGAGGCTCATACCTGCGAGTGACAATGTTGGCCGGCTGTCAGATGTCCATATAAGACCAGATGAATGAGGCGGTCATGAGGCGTTGGATGCTCCTCGTATTCCCCCTCTCCGCCCAGGCCTCTCTATATCACCCTGCCCCTCAGTCCCCTGTCCAGCGGTTGCTGCTCTCGAAGTAGATCGCCATGAAGCTGCTCCAGATTGCTTCTGCTCTTGTGGTTGCTGCGCTGTCGGCAACGAGCGTGTCGGCGTCGCCGCTCGACTCGGACGTGCTCGCCTACCCTGCTGGCGTCCAGCGCTCGGTCGAGGCGCGCGAGGTGGAGCGTCTCGTGGCGCGCGACAACACCGCACCCACCTCGCCGTTGACCAACTACCAGCAGTACCAGTTCCCCGCACAGCTGTCGCAGGCCGCCTACTGTGGCCAGCCCGTCGGCGCCAAGGTGGGCGATGCGCAGCTGCTCTGGACCGCCGGTGACGGTCGATCGACCCCGCTGACCTTTGTCGCCTACTCGCCCAGCAGGGGCGTCATCGTGTCGCACCAGGGCACCAACACGTCGAGCTTCTCTTCCATCCTCAACGACGCCGACTTTGCGCTCGACCCGGTCAACTCGCGTCTGTCGTACCTCGGCAGCGTCAAGGTGCACGGCGGCTTCCAGGACACCTGGCTGCGCACCGCCGACTCGGTGCTCGCCCAGGTCAAGTCGGCGCTCGCCGCGCACCCGGGCGCTGCCGTGCTCACCGTCGGCCACTCGCTCGGCGCCGCCATCTCGCTGCTCGACGCGCTCTACCTCAAAAAGCAGCTGCCCTCCTCCTCGGTCAAGTCCGTCGTCTTTGGCCAGCCCAGGACGGGCGACAAGGCCTTCGCCAACGCCGTCGACGTCAACCTGCCCGGCTTTGTGCACATCAACAACGGCCGCGACCCCGTCCCGCGCCTGCCGCCTGCGATCGACTACCAGCATGCGTCGGGCGAGATCTGGATCAACCCCGCCAACTCGCTCTCCGCCGTCACCTGCCCCGGCCAGGAGAACGAGAACTGCATCCTCTCGGTCAACCCCTTCACCTACGATGTCTCCGACCACACCGGCACCTACTTTAACGTCCACATTGCCGGTCGTGGCGAGAACTGCCCCGCCGTCATCGGATGATCCCTGAAGCAACGAGCAGAGTCCGCGTTTCTGATGGATCCAGGTGCTCCTCGTTGATGTGCGCCTGCTCTTCCTCCTCTGCCGGTTGAACCCCGCGTTCGTTTCCCTCTCAAGTTACAAAAGCAGCCTGGTTGCTGCGCCCTGCCCCGTCGTTACCCAATCCGTCTTGTCATGGGCGATGCAACGGAATAGATCCTCTTCTCCTATTCTCGGAAGTGTGTGGTCGCGTAGGGCAAAGATGAGCGGCCCGATGAAAAGCGGACGTAGCGATCTCACACGTCGATGCGGCGCGGGTGATTTTACGGAAGCACGCGGGGTGTGACTTTAGAAAAAACACGTGTGACGTCGAGGGGAGCGCGGTAAACACGGCCGGGAGGCCGAATTTGAGCTATTTCTGGCTGTAACGGTGTGATGAGCAGAAAGGTGCGTGTGGAGAGTCGGAAGCTTCCCTGCTCGACCCGATTGAACCGACCGACCAAACAAAGGCCATCGCCTCCACCCCTTCATCCTCTCGCAACCACACCACCGCTACCCCACATCCCCACATCTCCTCCATCATGCTGCGACGCATCGCCAGCCGCACGCTCCGCGAGCCCATCGCTCGTCCGTCGTCGCCTGGACCCCAGCCTGTCGCCGCCACCTCGGCTGCCGTGCTGTCGTACCAGTATCAGCTGCTGCAGCAGTCGCGCGGCCTCGTCTCGTCCGTGCTTCTCAGCAGCACCCGCGACGCTTACGAGACCAAGAAGATCGCCGAACTCAAGGCAGACCTCAAGTCGCGCGGCCTCGCTTCCACCGGCCGCAAGGACGACCTCATCAAGCGCCTCGTCGACCACGACTCGTTCGTCAATGGTAGCACCGCCAACATCACCTCCATCCCCAGCCTGCGCAAGAAGTCCACCCTTGCCTCGCTCCGCGACGGCGCCAGCAAAGACGCCAGCAAGGACGCCAAGAAGGCCGACGCGCCCGCTCCCCCCGCGCCCACCTCCCAGTCCGGCCATGCGGTCGTGAAGGGTACGCCTCCCTCCAAGGACGGCGGCGAGCCCAAGGGCCCCATCGTCGATGCCGACACCGCCAAGGCCGTCGCAGAGGCCTCCAAGCCGCTCGGAAGCATGAAGGAGTCCGAGACGCCCGCCAACCTCGAGCCCGGCACGGTGCACAACGCTGCCGCCGACGGTCTCGCCGGCGATGCCACCGCCAAGGCGTCGCCCTCGCAGCCCGACGAGGGTCCGGCCAAGAAGACCACGCCGCCCGGTCTGCCGCCCCACAAGGCGCCCCAGCCCAAGGAGACGTTCAACGTGCAGATCCCCTACTACCCGGACGCGCCTGTGCCGGGACCCGAGATCCCCGTGGTGACATCGTACACCTCGCCGCACCTGCGCCAGCCCGCCAGCTCGACGGACAACTCGCCGTTCATGCCCAAGGCCATCAGCGTATCGGCGAGCTCGGCCATCTCGCACGCTTCCGACATGAGCGAGCACTCGAACTCGGACGACTCGTCGCGCCAGAAGGGCATCCTTGCCGAGATCCTCGCCGACCTCCAGGCCAGCACGGGCAGCGACGGTGACAAGCAGTCGGCACTCAAGGGCATCAACAAGAGCGTCGATGCGGCCAAGGATGCGTGGTCCAGCGTCGCCGAGCAGGCCAAGGGTGCGTTTGCCTCCGCGGCAGGTGGCGAGTCGTCGTCCTCGTCGGGATCGTCGGGATCGTCGGGCTCGGGCTCGTCTTCGCGCAGGACCAACCGTCCGCTGAATGAGCAGGAGCGCTCCGGCGCATTCGTGCTCGCCGGCATCGTCGTGGGCGGCTTCGTGCTTGGTGGCCTCGGCAAGCCGAGCAAGGCCAAGGACGCCAAGGATGCACACCACGACTCGAACAGCACCCAGTCCCACAGCACCACCGAGGCTAAGAGCGTAACGGTGGTCCCTGTCGCGGCGATTCCCAAGGGCGACCGTGCGCGTGCCGAGGAGGACGCCAAGCCGACGGGCAGCGCCGTGCCCGTGCCTGCGGGCAGCAAAGTGCTGGCGCCCGTCATGTGTGTTCCCAAAGGAACCCAGCTTTCTGCAGGCGTGGATGCGAGTGCTGCGCTCGCACGCCTCGCACAGCTGTCCACTTGCGAGGTGAGCATCACCCGTTCCTAAGCCCCTCCCCACCAGGCCAACTATGTAGATATGCACTGGCTATCGATTTTGCATCCGCAGTGTGCTGACTCCATGTCTGTTCTGCGCCTTTTGGCAAGGTTTCGGATGCGATGCTCAAGCTCAACCTGAGCGGTGGAGGGTATCTGCCTGGCATCGAGATGTACTCTCCCAACGGCGCGGAGAGTGTACGGATATGTGGACCGGCTTATACGGTTCGAATGGTTTCTCAGCAGGACACTTCGGCGCCCAAACCTGCGCGTCACTTTGTTGATTCTGCCGAGGGTCACGAGGGCAGCGTTATGGTGATCGCTGCGCCTTCGCTCGCTAGGTCTGCAGTCTGGGGTGGTCTTATGACCGCCCGTGCGCAGTACCTTGGTCTGCAGGGCGTAGTGGTCGACGGACGATGCCGCGATCTGGCCGAGCACCGTGATGCGGGGTTCGCAGTGTTCGCAAGAGGCCATTCGGTCCAAGGCCAAAGCCCATTCACCCGACCGGCCCAACTTCAGGTCCCCATCACCATCTCCGATCCAACCATCACCAGCGAGGGAGACAAGTTCAACCCTGCTCCTAAAGAGGTCACGGTCCGACCGGGAGACTTGGTGCTTGCTGATCAAGATGGAGTCGTGATTGTTCCGCCCGAGAACGTTGAGGAGGTGGTTAGGCTGGCGGAAAAGGGTAGGGCGGAAGACGAGTTGTGCATGCGAGATATTCGGGCCGGTATGCCCGTCCAACAAGCCTTCGCCAAGAACCGCACCAAGTAGACCACACCTTCTTCCACTGTCAATAGCAGCTATCCCATCCACACCACAAAACACGCGATTGCAAGATTGAACGTCGCGATGAATTATGCCGAGATGGCTGGGTTCTGCAGCCAGTCGAGTGCCGGATTCTCCAGATGATCTGTGCCGCATCCACAAACATCGATGTCAGCATTCCTGTCTTGGATCGGCGCTGGTGGCGGAGACTTACCGTCGAAGTCAACGAGGTGTTCCCAGTCGCCGCTGGTGTTCATTGCATCGTACAGCTTCTGGACCTGGTCTGGCTGCTGCAGTGTCAGCGCCTCCTGCTTGAGGGGCTTTGGCTTTTGCTCCGTCTTTCCCTGTGCCATCGCGACGGGATATGCAGTCATTGCATGGGTGTTCGGGTTCAAGATGGTCGCATTGTTGACGCGCACCAGCACCGCCTCCCTGCGCGCGAGGCCCGCGATCTTTTCCGCGAGTCGCAGCGCGTGCGTTGACGGCGCAACCGTAGCCACGAGTTCGGGCGCCTCGTACACGCCCACCACCACGAGCTTGCGTGTAGCAGCGTAGGATGTCGCGAGCGAGAGCGCCGCTTCGGCAGCGGGCGCGAGCGACGTCCAGTGGTGCGAAAGCGGAATGCTGTCTGTGATGAGGAGCTCCGACGAAGAAGAGGAGTCGGCGAGCAGGAGGCCCAGCACGCGAGAAGTTGGGTACTTGGCTGCGTGCAGCACGAGCTTCTTGTACGCCAGTGGCGACACGCGCACCGAGGATACCGTCGACATGGTCGTGATCGTGCAGAGGTGAGAGCAGCGCGTTGAGCAGTTGTGGGAAGATTGAACGGGATGGCGTGTGCGTGCACCTGTGTTGTCGATCCCCGATCTGCCGTTTCGGCCGGTGGTTGTGGGTGTGTTTCGGATCGGGCCCGTGAGCGCGACACAGGTTGTGGAAGCCGCGTGGTTCTCGGCCGACAATTTTCGGCTGACACAGCGACCGACGCCTCATCTGAATCCCCGATGCTCATCGACCCATTTGTCCAAATCCAGTGCGGGCGAGTGCTGCAGAAGTCGCGAACGCGCGGAGTCCTTTTGATGTTTTTGGCGTGTCAGCGTGCTGCTGTTGTGCACGCAAACACACACTCGTGCTGTTCACCAATGCACCCTGGCGTGTCCATCTCCACTCGTGCCCATCGTCGACCTAGACATCCGCCCCTATCCTCGACTCCGCCTGCTTCGTTACCCTACGCATAGAACCTCGCCTGGAGTGCTATTCGACCTGTCCACGCCCATCTTTTGGATCCAGCTTTTCCCACCGGAAGCGCCGACGGCCTGCATAGATACGCGGTTCTACCGACCCGATTGCACGCACCACCCTGCGTCACTCGTGACCCGGCCCACTCACGACCTTGGCAAGCATGTGCTGAGTCTTGCTACCTTTTACACTCACAAGAGCGCGTCATGCCGCTCGCCTCGACCAACGCAAAGGCGCGTCTGGCGGCTACCAAGACGCGCCAGCCCATCGCCTCGACCTCCGCCTCGACCTCTGCGTCTGCTTCGGCTCATCCGACTGCCGCGTCCATTCGAAGTAGAGTGCCTCCCTCAGGTCATGCCGCCCTGCACGATGCCGCGCTCTCGCAACCCCAACCGTCGCGGCCGTTGCAACTCCAGCTGCCGCCTCCCCTCCCAACAATCGTCGATCTGCAGACTGCAAACAAGATCGCGCCCTCATCCCAGGTCGTCAGCGCACGCCTGCTATCACTTGCACGCTCCTTTCTCGCCATCCATCCGGACACCGGCTCGCCCGATCCTTTAGATTGGGAACTCGATCTATGCACAGCCACCTTCTTCGCCGTCTATGCAGTCTGCCTCGATCCTGCCTCCACCCTCGCTCGCAGGACGCTCGCCCGTTGCGCTCGTCTAGGCGGCTTCAACATCGTCCTACCCTTTGCGCCGGCTGGCAGCGCCGCTTCTTCCATCGTCTCGCCCTCGACGCTAAGCTCGCATGACCCGCACGACGTTCCGGGCGCTCACGCCTGCATCCACATCCTCCAGCAAGGCTCAGCTGCTACCTTCCAGGATCCCGACAGCGCCAGAGAGTATAGAGACGCCAACCGCATCCTTGGACGTGCCTCGGATGCTGCGGATGTTCTCAGCATACTCAACGACAAGGTGCTTGGAAAAAGAAAGGCCTCGGACACCAAAGCTGAACTCACCTCTACCGCCCAGCCCGTGCCGGCACACGCTCGCTTTGCGTCGCAGCTCCAGACAGACGTTGCTCACGCCGCTTATGCACGCAATCGTGTCGACGAGGCGCGAGCCACTTTCGTCCATGCCGTCGAGCAAGACCCCTTCAATTGGCGCGCATGGGCGGGGCTTTGCGACACTGGCTACGGCTCTGGCTCTGCGAGTCGGCACCTCGGTCTGTCCGCCCTGGATCGCCTCTACTCCAAGATCGTTGTCGACGTGCAGGCGCCTTACGTATCCATGGAGGCAGCGCTGAAGTCTGCACCCGCCTTCTCGGCTGGCGGCCATGCATCCTCCTCGGCCATGGTTCGCAAAGTGTCCGAAGATGGTTCGAACAAAAAGTTCAAAGTCTCCTCGGAAGCTCCCCCCGTGCCTCCCCTGCCGACCAACGACAACCGTACGGCACCCTCTTCTGCCAAACCAACGGGCAACCTCACGCCTCCGCTCCCCACCACCTCGGCGAGCAGCGTTACGGCCACTCGCCTCCATCCACCCTCGCGCGCCCTCTCCGCTGCACAGACCAACACCCACCATCTCGACCCCTTGCCTTCGGAGCAGGACGCCGTCAAGGCCTCCAAGGTCAATACTGTCATTTCGCGGCCAACTCGCAACGGCGCTGTTCGCACGGCGACCATCACCGATGGCACCACGACGCAGAACGGCCGACAGCTACGCTCGACAGCTCAGAGAACGGGGCCGACAGCTGCGCCGGCCAACGTGGCCGCTCGCGCCCGTCCCGTCTCGGCCGTGCAAGGCAGAGCTGGCGCAATCAGCCAAGCCGGCAGCGTCTCGTCGACGTCTTCGGCGTCTTCGGCGTCCTCGATGACTTCGCGCGCCACTGCCTCGACCGCTCGCACCGCCGTGTCCACGCGTAGGGCGGCGACAGCCACGACCAGCCAGCCCAGCTCCCGCGTCGGCCTCGCCAAGTCCACCGTGCCAGCTTCTGCCCGGAGCGACACGGCCGTGAACGGAAGTGGTGCTGCAACGAGGAGGGTGCCGACCGCGACCGCTGCTCGCTCCGCGCCGGCTAGTTTGAGCCGGCCGGGCAGCGCCATGTCCAAGGCCAGCTCGACCTCGATCAGTGGGCCGAGCACCGCCGCCCGAGCCAATGGATCGCTCGCATCCGCCCGCACCGCCGCCGACGCCATGCGCCAGAAGGAAGAGGAGACGGCGAGGGCTAAGCTCGATGAGCTTGTCTCCCTGCGCGAGTCGTGCGTGCAGCGTCTGACTGCGCTCGCTCACCAGCATGCTGCAGACCGGTACATCCTGGCCCTGCTCGCCCACGTCGGAGAAGCGTATCGACTGCTACGTCTGTGCGAAGGCGACAAGGCCGCGGCCGCGCTCATGCAGAACGTGCTGCCGTCCATCGGCGCTGCTGGCCAAAACAAGAACCCAGTTGTGGAGCAGCGAGCGCCAACGGATGGGCAGCAAGACGACGATGCGGACGAGCTTTCGTCGATAACGGCGACATCCGAAGCGACGCGCCTGCTCGATCTCCAGGTCAAGGACAGCCTCATCCACCACTTGTTGCTCGGCCGAAGCTACGCCGAAAGTGCGCAGTATGCATCTGCCGAGACGCACTTTGCTGCGGCGCGCAAGCTGAATCCGTTCGTGGCGAGTCACACCGACATCTACTCGCTCGTGCTCTTCCACCTCTCGCGCGAGGTCCAGCTGTCGGCTCTGGCGCAGCACCTGGTCATGGTCGCCCCGGGCACCGCAGCCACCCACATCGTGGTGGGCAATGCCTTTTCGCTGCAGAAGGAGCACCAGACGGCGCTCGTGTGTTTCCAGCGCGCAGCGGCGGCGGCGCCCGACTATGCTTATGCCTACACGCTCGCGGGCCACGAGGCGCACGACCTCGGGCTTCACGACGAGGCCATCGCGTACTTTCGCAGCGCCATCCGCTGCGACCGCCGGCACTGGAACGCCTGGGCCGGTCTGGGACGCGTGTACCTCGGCATTGGAGAGCACGAGCATGCGGCGTGCAAAAGTCTGCAGCAGGCGATCAGCATCAACCCCACCAATCACCTGCTATGGGACCTGGTCGGCTGGACTTTTGCGCTCGTCAGCGCACCCGCCAAGGCACTCGAGTGCTACAACCGTGCGATTGAGCTCGCGCCGGCGGCGTCGGTGCTCACGTACCTGCGCCGGGCAGAGCTTCTGCTCCAGCAGGGCGATGTTGAGGCCAGCCACCGCGATCTTGCATGCGCGCATGACCTCGCGCCGGAAGAGGCGAGCATCCACATTCTGCTCGCCCAGTCGTACATGCGGCTGGGCGGCGGCGCCTTCTGCCACCTCGAGACGTCGGGTGGTGCCGGCCAAGGTGGAGTCAAGTCCGGATCGGCGCTGCGGGCATCGGGCGTGATGGTGTTGCCCAAGGCGTACCACGCCGAGATCTCGCACCATCTCAGCGTCGCCGTCGACCTGGATCCGTCGCTGCTTCGCGTCGTCAAGAGCATCTGCGAGGGCTACAAGAATCTGCCGGGCAGCAAGCTCAGTGTGCACGCGCACGACCTCACTGCTGCGTCGTTTACGCAGTCGCATCTATCGGCGGACTCGGCGGGTCTCTCGCACTACGATGCATCCGGGGCCGAGTCGGACGCCCGACACGCAGACTCGAACGCGCATCACAGCGCATACGGCTCGTTCCGGCAGCACAATTCGCTATTGGCCAACTCGACGCCGCAGCATCCCCAGCTGCTTGTGCCCGCCGACTTTGCATCCACGCATCCCGCCGCCTACCCCGACTCGAGCAGCTTCCTCAGCTTGCAAACGCCCGGTAGCACGTCGGACATTGTCCTGGAAGACGCAGACACGTAGAGCCGTCCACGTCGTAACCCATCCGTCGCAGCCGTAATCTCACTTGCAGACATCGTCATGCTGCTGTCGTGTTGTTCTGCGTCAGTCACAGCATTGTTGGCATGTTGCGTATTTTTGGAATTCATGCGGGGGCTTTAGGTTGCATGGGCCCCAAGTCTCGCTGGCACCTTGACGGGCGAGGGCGAGTGAGAGAGAGGCCATCTACTTGGAGGGTTGCTGCTGCTTGGCCTCGAAGATGGCGCTGATGGATTGCCAGACGACCTTGGGGCTCTGGCTGGCGTCGACGGGGGCCCAGATGCCCTGTTTCCTGTAGTAGTCGGTGACGGCGGCGGTCTGGGCGTGGTAGGTTGCGAGACGCTTCTTGAGGGTCTCTGCGTTGTCGTCGGAGCGCTGGATGAGGGGCTCGCCGGTGACGTCGTCCGTCATGGGCTTCTTGGGAGGGCTGAACTCCTTGTGGTAGCTCCTGCCGGATGCCGGGTGGACGAGACGGCCGGTGATGCGCGAGATGAGCAGGTTGTCGTTGATCTTGAGCTCGACGGCGTGGTCGAGCTTCTGGTTCTTTTCGCGCAGCATGCCGTCGAGCTTCTCGGCCTGGGGCGTGGTGCGCGGGAATCCGTCGAGGATGAAGCCACCCTTGCACGAAGGGTTGGTCTCGAGCTGGTCCTTGATCATGCTCACCATGATCTCGTCCGAAACAAGGCCACCCTGGTCCATGATCTTCTTGGCCATCTTGCCGAGCTCGGTCTGCTTGGACACCTGCTCGCGAAGCATGTCGCCCGTAGCGAGGTGGCAGACGCAGTTGTTGAACTTCTCGAGGATCTTGGGTGCCTGCGTACCCTTGCCAGCACCGGGGGGACCGATGAGGATCATGCGAACACCTTCCGGCTTGCCCCCCGTCACGGACGACAGCGCCGACGAGGCCTTGTTCTCGAGCTGGGCGATCTTGTCGTTGAGCTGCGAAACAAGGCTCTTGAGGTACGACAGCTCAGTCGAACCTGCCGAGATGGTGTCGCCCTTCATTCCGAGCTCCTTCTTGACCTCCTGCTCCGAGGCTGCTCCATCGCAATAGCAGCAATACACACGGTCAGCGGCAAGTTCTACCGATCCGAGGCGAGAGGCGGTGAGTACGTACGAGGGGGGAAGGGGCTGTCCCTAGATCCGCGAGTGGTGGTGGTAGCCATATTTGCACAAAGGAAGGCTCAGGACAGGAATGAGGAGAAAGGATGTGGATGGAAGAAAGAGATCAATAGGATCGGCCGTGTGGAGAAGCCCGTCTGGCCGCAGCGTCGCTCGCGTCCCAATCGTCATCGAGGGCTCTCCGGCTGGACTCAATTTCGACCTTGGCAGCTGCCCTCGATCCGCAATCCTCATTCTCAGCCTCAACTTTCCTCCCTTGCCAGTCGTCCACTTTGCGTCGATTCTCGCACACCTCACCGCTGAAGCCACTTTGTATGGGCGCGGCGAGAGGTGAGGGCCATTGCCCATCCTCGCTGTTCCATTCAGGATGTCGCTGGGAGAGACGTGCCCGATCAGGAAGAAAGCAAAGGTGCCGGACAGTCCGGGCGTAAAGCCGGCCGGGACTGCCCATAGTCGCCTACATCTTCCGATCCATTCCATTCCAACCGCCTGCAGCCAAGTCGCGCTTGCTTTTCAGCCGCGATCGAAGCCTGCTTCCGCACTGCTGCCGCTTCTTCTGCCACGCAATTTTGTAGCCTCGATTTTATTTTTTTATTGATTTCCGCATTTTCGTGCCGTTTCTCGTCAGGCCGCGCTGTGAAAGCACCCGGCTGAAATCCCCACCCAAGATGATGCCCACCAGATAAACATATCGCACGAGAGACCCGTTCCCACGCCAGTCACTCATCTGTGGGTGAAGCAAACTTTGGCAATTACAAGCCTTCCGTGACATCTAGATACGAGAGCAAGACCATGACTAGAGGAATGAGAGTAAATAGAACGGAACGATCTAGAGAGAGTGTGAGAGAGGGGTAGGGAGAGGGACAGGGTGAAGGAAGGGGGGAAAGACGACGAAAGCTAAACACTGACAAAGTGTTGAGCGTCTAAACATGGCTTCAAGCGTGGTTTCCGCCGTGCTGCTGGCCCGACTGCATCTGAGCTGCCTGCTCGTTTTGAAGCCCGAGCTGCATGCCAGCTTCGCCGAGAGCGTCGAAACCCACGTTGAGGGCGGGAGACAGGGTCGCTTCACCGTTGATCGCGTTTGGCGCCAAACCGCTCGACATCGACTCGTTCGCAGGCATCGAGCTCAGCGCTGGCAGCTGCGCTACCATGTCCGAGGGCATCGAAGACATCGGCGTTGTCTGCCCCGACGTTGGCCGCGCCGCATCGGCGGCGATCGCCGCTTTGCGCGACGGGATCGACAGCATAAAGTTGGCCGCCTGCGCCTGCTGCTTGCGTTCGATCAGACTGCGCACCTGGTGCACTTGGATCTCCTCGCTCGACGCCTTGCCGTTGGGCGGCTGCGATTCGAGATGCGACGCAGCCAACGGTGCGGACTGTGGCGGCATCGACAGGCCCGACTGCAGCTGCTGCTGGAGTGCCTGCGACGAGGCTGGAGCCTGCATCGCCGGCGCACCGACCAGCTGCTCACCAGCACCGCCGGGGAATGAGCTGGGGTTCAGCTGCGGCGGCATCGGCGACGCCAAGGCAGAGGAAAGCTGAGAGTTCGATCGACCAGCCTCAGCGTTGGCGCCGGGTACATCCGAAAGCTGCGGCGTGAGCATCGCAGCCTCGTTGACAAGCGACTGGAAGTACTGCGGACGCGCATCGGCGTGCACGGGAGGCGTGAAGGGGAATGCGATCGCGTTCAACACGGCAGGCACCTTCGAAGGCTCCACGATCTGGTGGTTGATCGATTCGCTCGGGAAATTGGCCGGCGGCTGCCCATTGATGAACGCGTGGCCGGGCGGGGGCAAGCCCGGATGCATCGCTTGCGGGAGCATCGGTGCAACGCCATGAGCCGGAGGCATGCTGCCCGTCACGACGTTCACGCTCGGTTCGGAAGAAGCCGAGTTGAGGCCGGACGCGAGCTCGGCCGCGAGGGCACCGGTGCTGGCCGCTGGGCCTCCATCATTGGCCTGCAGCTCGTCGGCGGCGATTGAGGCAACTTGCAGGTAGAACGAATGCTGGAGCTGGTGAAGCTGGCCTCCGTTGACATAGTGAGCGGTGACGCTCACCTCGCCGCTTTCGCTGCCCGCCGTCGGTGTTCCGGAGAGGATTCGGTTGTTCTCCTCCCAATGGATCCAAGAAGGTACCTGGTTACACGAGAAGACTGCCTTGATGCTCGTCGACGATGCTTGAGGATCCCACACCTTGAGAGGCCAGGTCCACTTGAGGCCCACGTATGCGATCTTTTCGGGAGCACCAGCAATCTTGCGCGTGAACTCGCGGAACTCCCATCCACCCTCGGGGATCTTCTTGGCCTCGACGATCCAGATGTGGTTGCCCTTGGACTTGGCCTTCTTGCCGTCCTCGTTGAAGCGCGAGATGTAGGGCTGCGTCCAGAGGAACTGCTTGATCTTCTTGATCGAGCATTCGGACTCGCTGATGCCATTGCGGTACACCTCTGCCTGAAAGGCATTGGTGAAGGCCTGGATACGAAACTTGAACGGACGAAAGTCGGGCGACTCATCCAGCCTAGCCATCTTCTTGGGCATCAGTGTCTGGTGCAGAAGCTCGCCCCTGTCGTCCGTAATCTCCAGATCCGAGCATACGGCCGTGAGGAATTTGTGGAAGATCGACTCCAGCTGACTGCGCAGCTCGGGAGACAGGGCCGTGGTCGGCGCGTTCTTGTCGCCATTGGCCGCAGAGGAGTCCCCGCCTCCGTTCTCTTCGGGCGCCCCGAAATCGAATGACGCGCCGCTCGAAAAGAAACCACTGCTTCGGTGACGACGGTGCTTGGTCAGGCGGGGCTGTTGCCCGGTCTCGTCGGCCTGGTTGCCTTCGTCACCACTCTCCTCGCCATTGCTAAACGAGTCGTCGGGCGACGAAGGCCCCGAGTCGACGGCAGACTGGTTGTAAGAGGTGCTGGAGCTGGAAATGGCCGACATCTGCAATGCGCTGCGTGAGATCTTGGACTGCGAGCGTTCTCCATAATGTTGGACCTCAGAGTTGCCCAGGTTCTGCGCGATCGGAGCGGACATCGTCATGGCGTCCTGCAGCGAGCCTCCGCGCGCATGTCGGTGCTGGTGCAAAGACGGGCTGGAGGGCATGGACTGTGCAACGGCATTGCCTGGCAGTGCCTGTGCCTGAGAGAACTCGAAGCCGTTCTGCGGCGTTGTGGGCGATGCGTTGAGCGACTGCGTCCCGTTGGGCAGAGACGTCACGTTGGCGAGCAAAGCATGCGATACGCCGCCAGGCATGCCGTTCGCCATCTGGGCCGGCGGAGCACTCTGGGCAGGCATGGGCACTTGGGCTTGCGACAGAGTCATGGAGGCGCCGGAAACCGTCGGGGGTGCCGAGGGCGGGGCTGCAGGTGGCTGCACTGGCGTAGCAATCTCTGAGCGATGCGACTTTGATGGCTGTTCAGCCAAGTCGCTGTCGGACTGAACCGGTCTCTTGCGAACCACGGGGCTGACCTGTCCGGTGCGACTGTAGTCGCTCATGTCCACCGATTGCTGCTGCTGCTGCGGCTGCACCGAGCCAGAATCCTGCATTTGGCTGAGGGTCAGGCTGTTCGGCACAGCCACGTCATGCTGCTGCTGACTGTGGGATCGGTGCCTCTGCTGATGCTGCTGATGCTGCTGCTGCTGCTGCTGTTGCTGTTGCTGTTGCTGTTGCTGTGACTGTGCAAGTTCCTGCTCCAACGACAAGAGGGGCATAGGGCCAGGCTGAGCGGATTGCGTCGGGNTGCTGTTGCTGTTGCTGTTGCTGTTGCTGTGACTGTGCAAGTTCCTGCTCCAACGACAAGAGGGGCATAGGGCCAGGCTGAGCGGATTGCGTCGGGTGAGAGGCTTGCACAGGGTGCGCAGGGAAGGTGCTTTGGGTTGAGCCTTTCGAAGATTGCGGTAGTGCCGAGACGGGCACCGCAGCGGTGTTGGGCAGCTTTGAGTGCGAGAGGTGTTGAATGTGCTGCAGGTCCTTTTGAAGGTCTCCGAGGCAGCGATTGCTCAGCATGCCATCTCCGTTGTGGAACGATTCACGAGCGGCGTTTGCTTGAAGAACCACATCATCGAGCAGCTTCGCAATCTGGTCGATGTAGTCGACGTGTTCCTGGGTCATCTGGCTCACGGACCCTGGTGCTGCACGGGCGGCCGCAGCCTGCGCTTCAGCCTGTGCCTGCTGGGCCTGTGCTTGCTGAGCCTGTGCTTGCTGACTCTGTGCTTGGAGATGCGCTTGCATCTGCGCTTGGGCTTGAGCTTGGGCTTGGGCCTGGGCTTGTGCTTGGGCCTGGGCCTGCGCGTGTGCATGAGCTTGCATCTGAGCATGCGCTTGAGCCTGAGCCTGGGCCTGTGCTTGTGCTTGAGCTTGTGCTTGAGCCTGTGCGTGTGCTTGCAGCTGCGCGTGTGCTTGCATCTGGGCTTGCGCATGAGCCTGAGCCTGGGCCTGGGCTTGCGATCTGGCCGGTGCCTGTGGCTGAGACACCATCGGCGCGACCGACAGGGGACTCATGTTCATGGCGAGCGTCTGCATGGCGATGGCGGAGTTTGGATCCATGCTGTGCGAGGCGGCTCGCTGATGACCCGGATTGAAGCGTTCCGCAGGCTGCATCGGTGCGCTGGACATGAGCATCTCGTTCTGCGGGGGAGCAGAGGGCCATCCGAGCGATTGCAAAGACTCGGCCGAGGCCGGCATGGAATGCTGAGGCATTGGCTGAGATCCGAGTTGATGCAGATGCAAGCCCAGCGACAGAGAGCGCTGATGAGAGGGCATCGATGGTCTTTGAATCGCACCGCCAAAGCCTGCAGCGCTCGAGACAGGCGTACCCTGCGGCATCGCTTGCGCGGGCTGCGCTGCATGTCCTGGTTGAGCCAAGTGCATCGGCATCGCGGCATCCGGGGTGGCCTGCTGAGCGTTGGGCAGTTGAGACTGCTGCAGCTGCGCGGATTGTGGAGTATGGTGAGAACTCAGATGCATGGGCTGCAAGAGCTGATCCGGCATTTGCTGCAAAGGGGAAGGCATGGTCGAGTACGACTGTTGAGCTTGGGGTGGTTGAGCCTGCTGCGGTGTGGAGGGCGTCTGCGGCTGCTGTTGTTGCTGACCAGAGACCGCACTCTCCGCCGTGGATGCAGAGTGGTGCTGCTGCTCCTGTCCGACATGGTTCAGCTGCATCGCTTCGTTCTGGGAAGCCTGCTGAGCCATGGCGCCGGGGTTCTGGGACTGAGCGTAGAGCAAGGGCAGCTTCGAATCCGTCGGATGCGCTGAAATTGGCGAAGGCAGCGTGGATTGGGCGCTTTGCTGCTGCTGCTGTTGTTGTTGCTGTTGTTGTTGCTGCTGCTGGTGNGCAGCTTCGAATCCGTCGGATGCGCTGAAATTGGCGAAGGCAGCGTGGATTGGGCGCTTTGCTGCTGCTGCTGTTGTTGTTGCTGTTGTTGTTGCTGCTGCTGGTGAAGCAACTCTTGTTGCTGTTGTTGTTGCTGTTGTTGTTGCTGCTGCTGGTGCTGCTGCTGATGCTGCTGTTGCTCTTGCTGCTGTTGTCCTTGAGTTGGGTACTGAAAAGGCTGCATACCTGCGGACACGTTTAAGGGCATGTCGAAGCGGGGCTGCTGAGAGACGTGTTGCCCTTGGGCTTGGGCAGCGTTCATTATGCGCAGAGCGTCCAAGACGACGGGAGAGCGGGGCCTCCTAAGTGCGTCCTCACGATCGGGTACGGTAAGCCCAGGGTTGGTGAGATGGTGGAAGTTCTCCTGTGCCAGGTGGGGGGTTGGCAACGCACCGAAGCTGAGACGCGGGGTGGGACGGTTGATGTGGCCGGCTTCTGGATTTGGGTTGGTGAAGCGGCGGCGAGACTGCGAGAGCAAGAAGCCTTCGTTGAGAAGCAGGGGTGACGCGGTGCTGGATTCGGTACCCTGGCGTGACCCGGTGGCGGAGGAGGACGCCGAGTCGACCAGATCGGTCTCCTCAAAAACGGACGGAAGTTGACCAGTGTTCCAGGCGATGGGAGCTGGCTGAGGATGGGAGATGGGCTGCTGCGCGAGTGAACTCGACGACTCGGGTTGTGAAGGGGGCCACTGAGGCTGACGAGACGCTTGAGCTTGCGAGGAGATCGTGCTGGGCAGCGGTGGCGGCGTAGAAACCTTGCAAGGATCCTACGCTTCAGGAAACGAGGTGTTGTGGGCTTCGCAAGGTAGCGGCCAAAGTCGAGCTTGAGGAGCGAGAAGGATCGAAGCAAATGTAGGGGTGAGAATGTTGCGGAACAGCGAGAGCGGCTTCCATACGCTCCGTGGTACTGATGGACGATATTGGCGGGTGTGGATGGCGATAAGTTGCTTCGAAAGTGTAGGACCTAGCGGAGGTTCTCGTCGAATACCGGCTTCGACGAACGAGGTGCGAATCAGATGTCCGAATATCGCAGATGCAAAGTCGTTGCCGATCTACGCAGCTGTCGAATGAAGGCGTCCTTCGCGGAGATGCCAGACTGGGAGATCGCTGGCAGACGCAAGGTTGAGGATGCGGGTAAGGATTGGGATGACGGCAGGCTGGAAAGTATGTCCGGCGACTGATATATCGGCGATTCCGAGACTAGAAGGTGAAGAGACAGACGAAGGGAAAGCTGAGCAGGAGTGGCCGAGCGCTGCAAGGTCGGGTAGGGTCGGATGTGCCGACGAAAAGCGGTGAAGTTTGTTGGTCTGCTGACTGACGGTTGGAGAAGATTGAAGGTTCAAAGCTGAGCAGAAGGGTGAATGGTCGGCACGAGTCAGACAAGCGGGATAGGGAGGTGGCGTCGGAGAGATGAAAAGCGGGTGTCAGGGTGTGGTGGGAAGGTGGGGGGAAAGCGGGAAGCGTGTATAGGTGATGATGGTTGGAGAGATGCGAGCCAGAGTGACGGTGCCGAAAGCTGGCTCACGATGAAGAAAGGTGCGGCGGCACCTTCAGCACTGCCTGCGAAGCCGCTAATCTGATGGGGCTGTCTGCGGGCGGCGGCTTGCGGCTTCCTGGCCGCATGGCAACCGACTCAGGCAAGCTGCAGCCTGGCTCGCGGCGGCTTTCTTCTCAGAAATTGCCTGGACTCCGAAAAAAAAAA